CAGCAGCATTGCAACCTTGTGGCTTGATATCAGATCTCAGAAGCTCAGCAAGGCTGGGCATGGTCATTACAGGAATCAGATCTAAGCAAAACCAGGTTACTGCTGGTTTTCCCCATAGTTCAACACAAACTCATCAGTGCGTAACTACAACTTCTACTGCGTAGTTGGGACGCTGGTGCATAATGGCTGCTGTGTGTCAACCAAGGAGAGACTGAATAGCCGCAGATGAAGTAAGTTCCCTCCTATATCCTCTTAGGGATGAAAACTGAGCTAAAAAGCACTACTAAAACATAAACAGTATTTAATTATAATGATTATATATTGTTATATTAATTATTCATGTTTTTCCCTAATTTGAGAAGCCAATAAAATAAAAGGTCATTCTAACTTGCCTTTTACTACTGAATTACTGGAGGGCAAAGAGATATTAAAAAGAGAATTAAAACAGAGAATGGATTTTCTGTTATGTGCCTCATATAGATGCTTCACCTCAAAGCAAAAGCCCCAGAAAACTGGCCAAGGCTATGACGTTTAGAACCAATAAATACTTGCATGATGAATACCAATGATTAAGTGTTGACAGCCAGTATCTCTGGGAGGGATCATCTACAACACAGACTGTTCAATTTCAGCCTCAAAGCACTGACAAGCTACATTTCAGAAGACAAATGAAAGGCGAGTGCATGAAATAAAAAGTTTGGATTTTCAGCGAAGCAGAACAAGTAACTATTTCGTCTGGATTTGTATCAATATAAGATATTGTATGCTTGGAATCCCATGTTACAAGGGCATAAATGTGACACTGAGAGGGACAAATAGGGATGCAAGATGCACTATTTGCTATTTACAATGTCTTGGTAAAGTGACAATAGATTCTCTTCAACATCAGAGGAACAAAAAAAACAAAAAGGTGACAAATGAGAGGTGCCATTGGATTCATCAGGCTCACCAAGTTCCATTTCTCTACAGGCCCATAGCCACTAATGTTTGTAGAAGAAATGTACACACCAAAGTATTCATTTCCCTGGAACATCCCTCTAAACAAACAAGGACTGTTTAAAGGCTATGGGGTTTACCCACCATGCAACCCAGTCAACCATCTTAGCGCAAATAGTTGTCAGTATAAATAGGACCATGTCTCTACAGTCATCCACTGCTACCCTGCTCCTGGAGAGCTCCAATCCAGCATGTTCTATAGATTTTATAGGTCACCTGTATATCACCAAATGATTAAAAAATTGATTTATCGGTGGGTGATTTACCAATTGCAATAATTTCTATATCATTTGGAACAGAAATCTAATTTAACAAATTGCTTGCCTAACTGATCAATAAATTCCAAGTAGTTTAACTGACTGCATTAAAATACAATCAATTAAATTGATAATCTTTAAGCATTAATGATTTAAAATGACCTATAAAATATCCTGGCCTCTTCTCTAGAGTCACCTCACACTTACATTTAGAGGCAGATGATAATCTATGCCAAGCAGTATGACTCTCTAAAATTATATGGTGCAGAAAAGTAAGGTAAACTGTGTACAAACAGTTGAAAGGGAGGACTGTTTTGACTCTCCCAGATCCTTTCAAACACCACTAATGATACAGTTCTGTAGCTGTTTTGTCTTCTTGGCTTTACTGAAAGGTTGTAGTCCCCGTCTCACAGATACAGATACTCTTCATCTCTGGTAAGCATTTTAGATTTTTTTTCCAAAAATACTTCTATGGATAAAATCTGCATAATTATCTTTTATATGAGTACAGGTAGTTCTTGATTTCATGCACTCTTTAATGTGGTTGTATTTGGTGTAATGGTCCTGAATATAGGCTTCTTATTTAGGACAAATTACTTCTTTCTTTAACATGCTTGAGCACAGCCAGCGACAGACAACTTGACAGTGTTTGAGATGATATATGGCGGGCATACCCAGCCATCTGCTGGGATGAATAAGTCACACACTTTCTAAATACGTGTATAAAATGTCTATCTTCTTGGTCTGTACATTATGGTTATATTACATACAATCTCAAAAGCAATAAAACCCTAAAACAAAGTAAACTGCTATGTGAAAAACACCTTTAAAAACAAACTCAACACAAAGAATTTGTCAGTTAAACATTGTTAAAGTTACTTAAAATAAAATAACAACAAACTGGTCAACCTTAACGTACAATTAATAGAAAAATCCACAATTAATTGCCTAGAACCCTTAAAACATTTGTAACAGCAAAACATGTGTAATGTTATCTACAACACTTAATAAATGGCAATTAAAAGGCTCATTGAGAGTAAACAGAGCAAAAACCATTCCAGTGTCCAAATTAATTTCTAGGCACATGACACCTGCATTTTCCACATCATTCATTACCCACCACTAACTCTTATCTTCACGTTTTACACAAATCCAATAAGCATTAACAATAATTTAGTTTTAAAAAAACTTTTAGTATGAACATAAAAACATCAACAATTTTTAAGGAACATGAATGCCGCATTATTCAAAAACTATCTCTAAAACTAGAGTTTCATCGATAAAGCACATTTTTTATTTGTGGGTTTTAGCCTGACGTACAGTATTTTTATTTTTTGTGTGATTAAAAAACTTAACACCTTTCCACTATTTGGTTTACATCCGAGAAACACAAATCAAAATATCCAAAAGAAAGTCTTACTCCTTTTAATAAATAATGTTTACTATCACAGGAAGTCTAATTCTGCTGAATGACAGTCATGGGCAAAAATGCTAAAGCAGAGAATGATGTTGATACGTGAATATTTAAATTACTACTTCTTTGAAATTCCATTTATGCTTGTAGCTTTGCAAATATTTTATTTATAATGTTGTTTTAGGACCTGTAAAGAAACAACAGGAGGCCCTTCAATTCAACTTACCCATCATGTTTTAAGGATAAGTCTAAGACACTGAAAGGTGTTTTTTTTAAGGATGGCAGACAAACACCCACATTACGTAGTATGTTTGATGCAAGGTGGAAAATCCAGCAAATATTTACAAAGTGTAGAATTTAAAGAAAGGGGTGTTACATCAAAATTGTACAATGAACTAGTAAGACCTCAGTGAAAACATTGTGTACAATTGTGGCCACCATCTTACAAAACAAAATATTGATTCTTTGGAATCAGCACAAAGGAGAGAAAGCAGATACATTCCTGGATTTAAAGCAATGTTCTGTTCTGACAGGCTAAAATATTTGAATCTTTGACTGGTGACTGTTGAACACAGAAGAATGCGATGCTACCTTCAAGCATGCATTGACTTCTTCAGAATCAAAGCTGAAATCCAGAGGATACTGGAGGCACATTTTTACACAAAGGGATGTAGAACTCTAAGGCAAGCTACCTAGCCTTGTTTTTCATGCTGACACCCCAGCTCTTTTACTTTCCTGAATGTTAAGATTGTTTAAGAAACGGTGTTCAACACACTGTGCTGCAGTATGTGCCACATGCATCTGTGAGCTGGAGACAGCTTAAATACAGATTTTCAAGTGAAGGCTTAAAGAAAGATGATGGAATATGAAAGGGATGGCGGACAAAAGCTATGAAATAAATAAGAATCTAATTATTCCGTTTATTGCATTGTGCCTTCAGCGCTGCATGCATTATATCATCCACTGCTGAGAGTTTCTTGAAATCCAGCATTATTTCAAGGCCAGCAGAAGTGTGTGGCAATGTATATAGGGGTCACGCTGCGTAGGGTACTGTGGGAGGAAGAAAACAACAACCAGGAGCAAATAAAGTTAGTCACAGCATAAAAGAAAGATCCTTAGAATACTACTTTCTGAATACAGTACATGATGAGGAGACTGTGTGAAGGGGGGCATCTAGCTATTCATAATGCATACCCTGATTAAAATTACAGCATTCAGCTAGATTTTTGTATCATAGTTCTTGCTGGGTTATACGTCCATAAGCAGAATTTCAGTTTAATTTAAATACTGTAGTACTTTTAAGGCAAAAATAAGAAGGCACCACCATTACAGTCAATTGAAAACAAAAAATAATGTTATTTCTTTTTAAATCTTGTCACAAAGAATCCACATACTAATGACTAGCAGCCCATTTTTAATGGTATTTGGAACCACAATATTAAGACTTTTGTTTTGTCTAATGATGTCAATAACATAGCAACTGTGATTTACAGCACATCACAGAAAGGGGTCTGTATTTAAGGAAGATTGTATCTACACAGAGCATATGTGCAATGTACTTGTAGGAAAACACAACACCCTTTAAAAATAGACAGGAAAGTTCAAAAGTTGCACGTAAATTTATGCGCTTATTCCCTTCAAGGATGCAAGTTTGATACCTAATGTAGAACATCCCCAGCAGCAAAATAAAAGCAGTACTTTTATCGATGCAATGTAAGCAATAAAGTCTACATTATCTCTTATCCACAGGAAAACAAAAATCAATACCACCACTGGAGCCTCCACAGCACAGTATAGTGCACAGAGTGGTCTAGACAAGGAAAGTAACTATTGCCCTACTTATTTGGTTTAATTGTCTTCATGCACCCTGCTTCAAAACCAAATAACAGATGAGTGATGATTTTAAGATAACATAGTTCCAGCATTATTTTAACTGACAAGTTCCAAATCTATTCTTGCACAGCAAAAATATTGCCTGCTCCATTTTCTCCCTGTGATGGAAGTGTGGATGACTAGCTGGTATAAAATGGAAAAAAAAAAGTTTCATGTATCAGTCTTTTTCACAGCATCAAAAAACTTAAAAATTTAAAATCATTTCACACCAAGGTAAAACAAAATAGAAAGAAACTCCAGTTGGAGGCTTCTGTATAAAGCCTGAACAAGGCATGCTTCAGCAATACGTTGTGAAAATAAGGTTACAGGGACAGTGAAATCCTAGATTATTTCCATAACACACTCATGTGTCCATACATTTGCACATACAGTATACACAGACTATCATAATGACACAGTTTTCTCAGTATGAAACATGAAACAACAGGAGACTAACTTACAGAACTGAAGACTGAGGCTGAGGATAGCCAAGAGGGCTGCCACAACCAGCAGTAAAATAAACCGATTCCGAGCAACCATTCTTCTGCACATCTGTGTTAGCCTATCATACTTCCACCTGCTCTTGCCTCCACCTGTAAATACAAAATGCAGATGAGTAAAATGTTCTTATATCACACAACTCATTCACATCCGGTCTTTATTTTATGGAGAGCAAAAAGGCAAGCCTTCAGTTTATGATGACCTGGGCAGAATGAAAATAACAGGTTGCCTAATGGATGCACTGGGAAAAGCGCACAAACATCTGAGTCTTAGAAAATTACATGGTTCCCATGCCAACGTGTCTCAAACATGTAATTTGCTTGTGACGCCAGGAACTTCCTAAAAGGATGACCCACTTTTATGTACGGTTTGAGTACTTTAAAATCTTCTGCTTCATATTGTACATTACAAAATTCTAAATCCCTATATCCCGTAAGCCAGCTGTAGAACAAAACATATAAACAACAGTGACAAAGGCATTTTAAATCATACATATTTTAATCGGCGATCACACATCTTACACACAAAATCCTGTCCAGATATTCTGGAGAGGATATTTCTAGAATTTCCAGGAAAAGGGCCATTAAGGCATCTTAATATGCTATGTGGGAATCTTCTGCTGTTTCAAAGCTCTTGATATCTAGCTAGTGTACTGTAGGTGAGATATTAAGTCTCCTGTGAAAAGTGAATAACTGAAGTGTGCATTCATCTCCTTTCCATTTCCTTCAACTGGAGGGCTTTGCTGGCATAAAGCAGAAATGCAAAATTTAATAAATGTTTTTTAAAAATATTAAGGAAAAAAAACAATTGCCACAGTTTCAAGATCAATTTTTTAAATCATCTTTGCATTTTTCTTCAGAGTGATACAGTTCTAAATAAATAGGGTAAAACAATTTTGTTTTCTGGTTATGCATTCTTATAGAACTTCAGTTTTAATACTTCCCTCACCACTGAATTCAGCATGCAAATGTCCAAAACGTGCTTATGAGGCCTCTAGCATTATGCTCCAATACAGTATAGCAGTAGAGAACTACTTAGTTCATGCTGGAGCATCATACTATAAATAAGGACTCCTGTAGAGACAGAAGTGATGCATCATTATCATTGCAACAGTACAATCTACCAAGCTCAGAGTAAGAATGCAGGGTGCAAAGGAACACGCAGAGTTTCTTTTCTTCTTCATCTAAACATCATACAAAATATATGGGTGTTAGCCCTGTAACAGTGCTATTTCAAAAAGGGCTGAGAGAGAGAGCCCTCCCTTGGTACTTATAGAACAGAACAGACTTTTTTAGAAGTCACCCAGTATGTCTGGGAGGTGTGAGAAAAAATCAAATACCCACAGAAAATCCAAGGTAACACGAAGTTCACCGCAAACAAGGTGCTCTATCTCAGGACCTAAGAGTTGTGCAATGCAAGCACAGCAGCACGTACTGGGATGCAGAATGGTCTGAAGTTTAATTTCAGCTCAGTAACAGGCTCCTGCTCAAATCAGTGTTTCCCAGCCACACTACAGGCTAATCATAGAAGAAAAGGCAGCAACATAGTATGATGACATGGTGTAAAATGTTCTGAAAAAGAAGACCTTGCCACAAATTCAGACCAAATGTGTGTCTACCTGTGTAAAAGTAGATTTTAATGCGTTTAGCTCTGGAAGTAGCCTTTGATCAACTGGCTCTCCTACATACTAGACCTGGGCTGTCACACATTTAATCCACCAAGCCCACGTGTTTAGCAAGCACTGGTGTTCCAGGCTGAGCCATCAGCCCACAGACGAAGCAGGCATGTCTGGTGATATTATTGTACTAGTGTCAGACACACAGCAGTCCCAGTGGTTCTCTAGCTCTAGCCAATCACAACACCCTTTTTTAATGATGTTACAGAACCTGTCTCACAAAGGCTTCTCTTTGCAAAAGAGCAGCGTGGGAAAAATTGACACTATGAGACCTGTATACACACTTTTCCAAAAATCCTCCTCTGAATTTTGCAGCAATATCAGTAACTGAACCACTACTGTCTCACTGGAGCAGTACCTCGAGATTGTTTAAATGATTCCTGAACATGTTATTAAAGGGCTTATAATTATGCTACTAAGTGAAAGAAAAATAGAGCTGTGTGGTTCAAGGGGAGTGGAGAAATGCATATTTGTTTGTAAAAGTTAATGGAAAGCTGGAAAGATATATTTGATTTGTATAGCAGCTAACCATTGCCATAGGGCTTGTAGCAGTGAATTTTGTTCTGTTCGTATATTGTTGGATGACATCCCTACTGTATATCTTTGCCTTTTGCCAGTTTTCTTTCACGATTAAAAAACAAGGTGAGCTGCTTCTCACTTATCATCACAAGCTCTGTGTTAATCATATCACTTCCTCAAGCAGAATTTACAGGTGATGTTGATGGCTACTAATCAAGATGCAAAGACTTCTAAATACCATGTTAAAGTGAGGTATTGCACCGTAGAATAAATACATATAACGTAAAACAGTACAAATGAAACTATGAAAACTAAGAAACTATGTAATGGCTGTGCCTAACATTTAGATAACTTACTGTGTGATACATATGGCCTGCGTGAAGAACCTTTAAATCCAATCTGGTCCACCACAGCATACAAATGGAAACCCCTGTACTTGATTATTTTTTTCACTGATTTATGTCAGTTAACTGAAAAAAAGCTAACAGTTATCTGAAAAAAAGCATCTGCCTGAAATGACTGCAGCTTTTTGTGCAGTTAAAAATAATAATACAATAAGGGAAGCCTCTGGGCCAGTCTGACATTGCAAATGAGAGTGTATTCTCAATTGACTTAGCCTAACTGGCTAAATAAAGAATTTCAGAACCTAAAACAATGTGTGACTATCTTTTAAACAGAATTTCTGCATCATCTAAACATTGAATTTAATCTCATTTTGGCACCTCAATTTGTAACCATTCTTCTCCAAAAAGTATTGCACATGGCCAACAGAGAGAAAGAACTGGAATAACACATAACTCAGCCGAAATGCACATTCAGAGGTTCTGCACATTTCTTTATGCCAAAAAGAGACAAGCTAGGCCTGATTTTGCCAATCAGCCAATAGCATAAACTAGGTGGTGCAAAGAGACTGGCCACTCAGTCACACACCACAGCTGGAGCTTCAAGCCTTTTAGCCCTGTCAGTCAAGCCCAAACATTGACTGTTTATTTCAATCAGCGCCACGCAAGTCATTTTCGGAACCACACAGACTACATTTAAGCATATCAGCCAAGCTTATACAAAACAATAATTGAAGATATCATGGTATGCTAACAACCCTCTGGAGCTGAATATCCTTAAAACTGTTGAAATGGTGGTTGGAATTTCCAGAAACATTCTCCAAAACCTCTCTCACTGGTAATCAATGATGTGGCTGTGTGTGTGGTGGAATCCTTTAAGGTTTTTGAAATTATGATCTCCAATACCCTTAAATGGGACGTGAAAATCACCAGTGTCAGAAGAAAGCACAGCAGGGAATGTACTTTTTGCACCAACTGAAAAACTTTGGTGCATCTCAACCAATTCTGATTACAGTTTTACAGAGCCATTACTGAGAGCATTTGGACAGCCTCTATAACTGTTGGGTGTGGCAACACGTCTGCCTGCTCCCAAAGCAAACTGCAGTGCTCATCAGCTGTCCTCCACTGGTGGTTTCTACAATTCCAGCACAGAGAAGCAGGCAGGAAAGATTGCTGAATACCCCTCCAACCCAGGTTACCACCCATTTCATAAATGTCTCTCAGGAAGACACTACCAGCCTATTAAAACCAGACCCACCTGGTATCTTAAAAGATTCATTTATGTGCACTGTCTTAATGATATCTATTGCCTTGTTGTGTATGCTATATGTAGAATGTTTTGCAGCACTAAGTAAACTGGAGTAAAGTCCTTGTACGTTAAATGTACAGTACTTGGCAAAAGGTTATTGTGATCCTGATACCACTTATAAATCACAAACCTATGGATCCATTGGCAGAAGAAAATTCTGAATATCTTATATCTCAATATAATATTGACAAAATTGTTACAACTCTTTCGCTCTTTCAGATAACAGTATTATGATACTGTAGTACAGTATTTCACATAAATACTCATGGTGGAAAACAAAATTGACAAGACTGGTTAATTTAGACTCAGACACACCACTTTTCACATGAAACACTGTGCTGGTACGCGTGTGTACAATTTTCTCTTGAACCTCTGCCAGCTAAGCCCTAGAACTACAATGCCACGTTTTGCACTGTTACAGCTCTGTACAATTCCACGAGCTGTGGTCAGACAGTATCAGCATCACCCTTCATCTGAAAGTCAGGATTGTCCTGTGAAAAGGGCACACTTACACAACACTTGTAAAAAGTATCAAGCAGTACAGTTTACAACACTAGAGTTCTAGAATACAAATTTACACCTCCATTGTACAGTTTGCATTTCTTTGAATAACACATACCTTCTTAAGTACTGCAAGCCTAAGTAATAATTACATTTACTTACATTTTCAACAAAAAAGTATACCTTCTCTGTAATTACACAGATTTAAATAAATGTACAGTATTAGTGTAATGTCTTAAAGTATGTTATAGGCATATTCAGATCTCAAGACTACATTCCAATTGTCACTACCTATTTTCTGTTGCACACGTTTTTTTTTTCCCTTGAATACTCCCTTAATATTTTAAACTGCGTCAGGATCAGAGGTGAAATACTGCTTAACACACCCTCCCCATTTGAGGTAGTTTTCAATAAGCTACAAAGTTGGATAGAAATTCTTGGTACCATTGGGATTTCAACAGAAATTACATTACTTTGTTAGTATACTCGCTTATGACTTGCTATCTGATCCACTTTGATCACTGCTACCCCAGGAAAAAAAAAGAAGGGATCAGATCCACATTTCCCCAGTGTTTTCACACAACTGGCCAGTGTTCATTGTTTTTTTCCGCAGCTGGGATAATCATTAATCAAACTCAACAAGAATTACATACAATGTGACCTAGTAATTCAGATTTAACATTTACTTAGTGTGCAATGTGTTATCTGAATTATTTGTCATCTTGTGATTTCAGCATTTCCTTTAGCTTCTCATGACAAGCTTGTTAAGGAGATTTCTTCAAAAGACTATTAAAAAAAATAGTTCCAACACAGCAGATCTGCCTTTGACGGCATTTAATTCTCTTCAATTAATTAATGAACACACGTATTTCTTAAGACACAGGAAGCATACACATACTGTATGCACATAACAGGGCAAATTGCATGTGTACTATACAGTCTATGATACAATAATTCAAGTGTATACAAATATATATCAATGCACAAACCAAGGTTACATGGTTCATAAGAAGAAGAAATCTTTATAAATGTAACATTTTGTGTATTCCACAGCAATGGCAAACTAAAGGATTACACACAAGCATTGGGCCAAAGGGTAAGACCCTTACATACTGCTTCAGAGCAAAACACATCTCCTGAATTCAGCGTGTAGTTAAAATTACAACAAAGCAAACAGAAAAGATGGTGACAGTGACTTCTTACTGTAAACCTAAAACCGGCTTCTTTCTTTCAATAAATATTTTGTGGTCATCAGAGGGAGAAGAATTATAAAGTGACTCTTTTGCAGATTTCTTTTTCTTTTTTTATTTGGATGCCGTTAAAAAGAGCGTCTTGAAAGATTTTTCCATGCGAAAACAGTGAATGCGGTTGGTCCTTAAGTGACCTTTGATTGTCACGGACGAGATGGGTCGTTCTAGTTCCCCTACCCCCCCCATCCTGTCAGCACTTTATCCAGCACAGAACCACCAATGCTGTCTGCGGGGCGACACTAGATGGATAGTAGTTTTATATTCTCAAAGTTCCGACCCCCCCGCCAGAAGATCAAATTAAAACAAGGTACATCGCAAGAGCTGTGAAGGGTGAAGAAAACGCTATTGCACGTACAGAACAATATCTCAAACTAGTAGTGATGCCGCTTTTAACTCAATTAAATTACCCGCATAGGGAAGTAAGCCCTTATGTTAAAACCTTTTTCCGTTTTTCGCCGCAGCTTCCTCTTAAACCGCAAGCACAAGCAAGGACTGCAGCCATTCCTGCAGTCTTTAGGTTCTCTTGCTTGCATTTTGCGATTTGACGCAGAAACACGGTGTGCCACAGTAACTCGCGGTCCAAAATCAAGTGTCTCCATTATATTTTCCAACGAGTGGAGGAATCGCGTGCTACAGTTCAAAATTCCTCTCACATGCAATGACTTTGGTGATATTTTGCATTCGTGCAATGGCTAGTTCTATTATTCTTCGTCATTTTAGAATAAACACTAATGACACCATTCTTTCTCAGTCGGCTATTCAACTGTAAGTACAGTAAGTACTGTACTATGTGTTACTACCCTATATTAAGAGTAACAGTTGATTACGAATTTTGAAGTTGCAGATGTTTGTCGCCTACCATTTCATTAAATCTTTGCGAAGCTTACTGTCTGCTGGTCATTCACCTTTGTTTTGCAAGAATCATCGAAATGCATGGCATTTAAAACAACGAAGAAACGTATTATAAAGATTCAGACCACTAGTTAAAATCTCTTTTTTTCATGACACTGCAATGCCAAGATTATTTGAAAAATCTTTAAATGAGATCTTCAAGTGTGCCAAACAGATATATGTACTTTTAAATGAGAGTACTAAGGTCTCTAAAATCACTCGTCAAATAGATTGTAGCCTACTTAAAATCAAATCACTTTAGTTCGTCTCAGATCAAATTCACCCAGGAAGGCGTGAGGTCGTAGATAGAATGAAACTAAAACGGATTTGTAAATTGCCTTCAGTTTTTCCTGTTCTTCCGGGAATTGTTTGATCACATCACTGAAATATAGTACATTATTGTCCACAAGAGTTTTCTCCCTTTAATGCAGAATTACGCACTCAAGTTATATTTGTATTACTAACAGAAGGAATGTGCAAACTACGCGTTAGTCCCACACGCTAAAACTTTCCTCCAGTCCCTTCTGACCCATCCTGTTCTAGTGGAAACACTGTAACGAGATTAAACTACTCAAGTTTTCACAGCATTGCATTTATTCCGAGCCCAGCGGTTAAACACTGTTCCACCGTGCCAAGCAACTCAAGGGCAGAAACGTAGATAAATAAGAAAAAAGAACTACGTGCATACCATTTTAGATTAGCACACCTGCTTTGTCTCTTAATCGCAGCCACAATACCTTTGTGTGGGCTACATACAAGTAGGACAAAAAGACCCTGCCATTTCCGAGCAGTACATTGTAATGCATGTAGACTAAAAAAGCCCAACCCACGTTTGCAACGTTGCATATAAGGAGGAAAACGGGAGAACTCTAAAGAAGAACAAGAAATCCAACGCTTACCCAGCCAGCTTCAAACAAAATAGCAAAAGAACTTATAGCTGCTGGCGTACGTGAATTATCTTCTATTTTTTCACCCGGCTTTTTGTGTTCTGGCACAACGTGAAGCGTCAGGGCTAATTTTTCTGGCTTCGCCGCGCCGCCTTCAGGCTAAACCTACGAACGCTTCCGTCTATTTTCTCTCCTGTGTCCTGTATTCATTAAGCTTGGCAACGCTGTTTGCGGAGGTGCTGTGGCTCTGTTTCGGGGCAAAACGGGCAGATAGGTGAGGCTCGTTTAGACCAGTTTAGTTAATACCCGCGATATTCAATGCACCAGCTGTAAGATTTCCATTTGGGTCGCGCACTCAACAAACTGTAAGAAACCCAGGTTGCTGGAAGATAAAAAAGTACGTCACGTGTGTATCCACGTTCCGTACCATAGCAACAAGTCGATAAGAGAGCGATCCTGCGTTGGGGAGGTGATCTATTATTTTTATGTATATTAACTAGATGGTAAGTGATATTTGTAACACGTCTGCAGGTAGAAGATTCAGCCCGCAACTGCACATGAAACAAATGTCTTGTTCTGCTCAGACAAATTGCTAGATGTTTTCAAGATGGACTTTCATATGACATCATTCCAACTGTAATTCCAAATGAGTAATGGACTATAATTATATAAAGGTGCATTCCTTGTCCACAGTTAAGGATTTACAGTCAATAGAAGCGTCGCTTTGCTGATGGTAATATGGATTTGCTGATTTACCGGTGAAATAATTCTCCAATTTTGCTGTCTTTTTTATGACGAAGAACAGACACACAGTGTTATAGGACGCTAAGGGTTTTCACATCCATTTGAAGAACGTTGCCACAGTTTTCACTTGTCACTTTACTCAAGAAGCTGTACAGTAGATACACTGTATCTGTCTCAATTCATATTATTCATGCAGTGTGTACTTGCATGAAATAAGTACAAATAATCGTGTTAAAATACATATAAGTCAAGAAAGCTAACAAAAACGGAGACCATTTGACACAATGTGCTCAGTGGGCTCATTGTGGCTTATTTATAGATGTAATAAACTCATCAAACCATCATTTGAAAACTCCCTGTATGCCGGTTTGCGTCATGCACACTCTACTCTCAGAAGTTTCAGGGTTTGATTCTGGGTATTCACACTTTCAATCTTTTCTCTAAAGGAAATGTTCCCTACTTTGAATCAGAAGATGTTGTTTCAGTGGGCCTCTCACTGTCCCTTTCTGAAGTCACCTATGTCAAATCTCTTCCAAAGGTCCTGCTGTATGCTACAGAAAGTTTTTAACTTTTTTATTAGGCTCATTTAGCTGCTTCTGAGCATCTCATGCAAATTTTAGCTTTGAGCAAACTGCTTTGAAAATATAATTCTAAGTTCCTGCAGAGGGCGTCATGCTTTAGAATGAAAATATCTTGTGGATTAATCAATTCGAATCCTCGATGTGTTGCTGGTGAATCCATTGAGCACTTCCAGCTTCTTAATCCTTTGCCAGCATAGTGAAAACTGGGAATCAGTTCATCCCAAATTGAAAGAAATCATCAGAGTACACGAATAAGTTGAGTTCTGGACATGTTAGAAATGCTAAGCTTTCTTCAGATACTCAGTGTATATATAGTAGATGAGAAAACATCTAACGTTTTGAATTGCTGTAAAACCTGCCATTGGCGCATTAGCCTATTCAACAGACGTTCCCACACACATTACAGAAGTAATCCATTGGTTTAACCTTAAGCAGAGTTAACACACAGGCCACACACAATTTAAAATAGTCTGGCCTTTCTAGTCACTCGGCAACTAATTTACCTACTGGCTCATGTCATCCACAAGTTTATGGTACATGTAGTTGAACACCAGAACCTAGATTTGTAGACGTTCAAGTAGATATCTACGTCAGCATGTGTAGGCTGCAAAGGAACTAGTAAAGGTTTATTCATTTTATACATTATACAACGTGTCTCTTTTCTTTTAAGCATGGAATAAACCTTAACTTGTTCCTAGATTTGTGGCGCCATCACGTGGCCACTTTTGATCTCGATCCTGCTTCTTCCTCTTCTGGAAAATACAACTACAACATGTAGTTGAGTGAGGTATAGTGGCCATTATACGCCAATTCCACTAAACAGCTGATCAAGTGAGAAAGGTACCTTAGCACAAACCATCACATCACCATGCTTCCAAAGCAAAAACAAAAAAATAGGATAGAAAAAGGTAACAAACAAGATGAAGCCATTCAATTCATCTTTGCCCCCTTCCTTTCTAGAATAAAGACAGGGTACGAGTTTCCACAACAGTTGTTTCTTTTGTTCCAGACAACCCTTTTGAGTTAAGTGCCATTGAAGATTTTGAATACTTGCATTAGGTCCCCTCGTGATCTTCTCTTCAGAATTGAGTTCTTTCAACCTGACTATATATATAAAAATATATTTCAAACATAAAAAGATACAAAACTAATAACAGCGCAATACAGACGGCAGCTCAAGTTATTAAAGAAGACGAAGACTTCATCCACCGTAGCGACCATCCAGCAGTTTCCATAATGAGATGATGAGATACATTTTCTGAATTGAAGAATAAATTGGCTCAAATGTTTGTTTTTTCTCAATAACCGTTTTAATTACTGTACTGATTTTTGTTTACGAGTCTAACACATTTCAGAGGAACGCTATTGCTTTCAAGATAAACACTGTCATCTAGCGTTCAAAATAAAAACTACATTTATTTTTAATTACTGTTGTTACGAATACACGTTGTAACTATGTTGATTATTAAAGCTGCCGCTTAAAAGGAACATTTTGTCATGTTTATTCAAAACTTTACTTTCTTATGATCTGACAGATTGTTCCTATAAACACCTTCACTTAAACATCCGAGGCAAAATATTTAAATAACAGATCAACAGATTAAAGTTTCAATATGTTTTTTTACAGTATTTTGCAAAGTATTCAAGAAAAACAAAAAATAAATGAGACATTTTACTTCCTTACCAAATTCTAAAATGAACACTGAATCTTGTCCATTGTATGTGGTGTACTGTTAATTGGGATAACAAAATACTGAGCCTTAAATTCAGTTTACAAAATGCCAGGTACTCAGTGCTTAGTATTTGGGTTGAGTTAAAATTAACAAAATGATAAACCAGTTGTTTGAGGGACAGACCACGTCTTGAAAGGCATCAGCCACAATAAACAGAGACCATCACTTCTGTTGGATCAGTTGGTATTTCCATAATCCTTTTCCAATTTTAGGAGCAGTAGTATAAAAAACTCCCAGAAGAAATAACTTATGCAATACATGAAAAGAAAAATGATCTGTGTTCCCAGAGGTCATTCTGCAGCAGAAAGCTTGACAGCTGAAAGATGTCATGTTCATACCATATTCATACCGTATTCTGTGGGTCAGAAAACATCTGAGATGGTGACAGAAAGTGTGACGGTTTTTTTTCACCCATGACTGTCATTTTGCTCTCGACAAACCTGAAGGAAAACAAAGTGTGCAGACATTATAATAGCGATAATGATGTTGTGTTGTTCCTATCATCCTATACCATCTGTAGGAATCTGCACAAGAAGAGTGGCAGAACAGTCTAGCCACCACTAGGTTAAATATATTTAATTAAATCCGCCAGGCGTAAATGCTGTAGTTCTTTTGTGCTTCTGTATACAGTACTTTTACAAACAGTCCAAAGCCGCACATAGAAGTTCAGGAAATGAAGACAGAGACCAGAAGTTCTTTTACTGAGCTCCCACATCTCGTAAATGAATCTGCACTGATTTATAATCCATTCTTGAAATAATATTTAAAGGCACGTCAGTCATATGAACATGCTGTAAAATGTGCCCCTACAGTCAAGGTAATTTTCAGTCGGTGGTCATGAGGGACAGGAAAAAAGTCTTTGAATATGTGAATATCATGAGACACTGATTAGTGCAGAGTCATCTGTCTCTCGGTTAAACCTCTTTTAAGCATCTCGGTAATTTAAACCAGCAGCTACACTTACCAAACCGCAAATAAACCATTTAATTTCTGAATGAAATGTGGAAAATGAAGAAAGATGAATAGGGAGCTGCATCAGTGTGTGGAATGCAGAAGTGCAGGTTAATTCCACACTAAGTATTAAATATGATGTGTTTCAGAACACAAATGTAAATCGTGACCAAGGTCAGTGTCTGCAAGCGATGTAACATAATTATAAAACGAAGAATTGTAGGATGGGGCTTTGGTTCATACTCACATAATGGTCCGCTCCTTTGCTGGTGTAAATTCATATTATATATGAATATTGCGAGATATGAATAAAGGATATTAAAAGAACTGTACCTTGAACATGTTTGTTTATTTGCTGTTTGGCATTTTGCTTTCAGTCATGGTTGTGTGACAAGTGCTTGTTTTTTATACCAGGCCCAGATGGTGCAGGCTTGAATACGTTTAGCAAAGACACCTCAGTGGCCAATGTTTAACATGAGGGGCCAGAATGCTATAAATATCAGTGGGTATGAAGGTCAAATAATTTATCGAAAACAAGCAGGTATCAGTTGATCATTTACTTACCTTCTTGTGCATTTTTGGAATAATGACACCATTACTCAAATAGATTCAGGTCAAATTGTCATCAGGTTCTGTACCTCGTGCCAAATCACTACCTAATTCATAGTCTTCCAGCAGGCAGGATGAGAATTCTGCACACCCCACTCCTCACACATCAAAGGACTGTAATCTCTCAACTTTCTGGTACAAAAGCTTTTGTAACAGCTCATCTAATGCCTTACAGTATGTACTAGTGAAACATTTAATACTGACATGTTTGTCTGATCAAGAGAGTTTACATAAGGATTGACAAACGATGCTTAAGTCAGTCAAGCAGAAATGTTCCCTTTCTGAATTGTTTTTCACTGATTAAAAAATCATAGGTAGCAGTGGGAAACATGCACTGAAGGCTATTTATCTGCTTTGCCCACATTTCACTTGTACTTAATTCAAATTGATGGTCAGCTGAAGAAAATTAAAGTCTGATGCACTATATACACAGACTATATAAATGTGAATTTACATACAGTAGTGCATAAAGCTTTGTGATACTTATTCGTTACTGAACACGGAGGTTTTTTTAAGGCAACTGTAGACATTAATGTGGCAATTTCAAAATTAGAAGGATGGTGTTTCTTATTTATTTAAAAATAAATTGCAAAGAATCACTATTATTTATGCACGTATTTGATAATTACTTTACCAAATTGTGTTTGTCCAGCTGTCAAGACAAATCTCATTTTCAGGCTCATCTACCAGTCTTAGTTCAGGGTTC